TAATCTATGAATCTATGAATCTATGAATCTATGACCCCAGTGGCCCTGGGATGTTCCTGGCTGGCCCTGGGGGCAGAGCAGGCCACCTCCGGGGGCTGCTGGGGGTGGCACAACCTGGCAGGGTCCCAGCCTGGGGCCCGGGAAGCTCGGGGAAGCCACAGGAGCTTTTGGAACAAAAAAGCAGCCGTGGCTCTGCTCCGGCTCCTGGGGCAGCCTCCTGCCCATCCTGGGGCCAGGGGGCGAGCTGCTGCAAGGCCGCTGGGCCCCTGTGAGGCTGGGGGGCAGGGCCTTCCCCCCGGAGCAGCAGCACCCACCGGGGGCACCCATGGGGGGGCAGCCAGGCTGTTGCTTTCCCAAGCCTCAGGCGCAGGATGCAACTTCCACGCTGCATCCCTGGGCTTCCTGCGTCCCGGGCCATGTGCCGCCCCCAGTGGCCTCCCCCAGGGCCAGCAGCTTCCCCTTGCAACCCTTCCTGCACACCACACAGCCACATCCTCCTCCGGACACAATCGCACATCCCATAAATACCATATACACACATATCCTCAGCTCTCCACAAACCCCACATCCACCCACTCATACTCCCCTGACACCCCTGCACACCCCACACACTATACAAGAAGACGACTGCATTTTGAGTTATTATGCAATCACTTCTACATATAAAGGATGTCTGGTGCCAAGGGTCAGAGGTCAGGGGCAGGAATTCTGGTCCCAAGATGGCAACCAGGAGGTAGGGCATGTGTCAAGGGGCGGGGTTACCCATGCAGCCCTCTACAGCTTGCCAAAACTCACCAAGCGGCCCTCTGCCTAAAATAATTGCCCGCTCCTGATTTATCACCTGAATTATCTTATTCTGTACTTTTTCTGCCTGTACTTCATGACTTAATATATTACTGTGGTTTGACTTTAAAAAGCAGTCATGAAATCATACATGTTTGATGTAATCTTGATTGCTGAAACTTCAAGCCCTTGGAAGAAGTTTCTAATTACATTACCACACTTCAGCAGTGAACTGCCTAGTGAACTGCATAGTGAACTCTCCTTCTTTAATATGTACATCTAATAAGAAAATGACTCCTTTCTTAGGAGTGCTCAGAAGACAAACTGAATTGTATCTGTGTGTCAAACCCAGTCCTAAATGTTTCTTTGCAGCTATAGGCCAAAATGAGACTTAAGCATATTAATGATCCAGTAAAATTACACTAATTTCCAGATGCTTTAAGTACAAACATTAAGCAGAGTGTACTTTACTGTAGCCATATGATTAAATATTTCAACTACCTTGGTATATTAACCCATTCACCACAGCAATCAGTCCCATAAAAACTTTTACACATCATTCCATAATAAGCATGTATTCCTCACTCTCCTATTTCTCTTTGCAGTATCCATTAATAAACTCACACCAGTTCAATTCCATTATTCTAATGTAGGACCCTCTAGCCTTGCTTACTTTGCTGTACTAGCATCCAGGGTCACAGGTAGCAATTTCAGTAAGCAATATGCAAAAGAGATATTTTTTTCCATTAGTGTCTTGCCATCATGTTTACATGCAACTTAAAACAATATGGACAGCTTGTCTTGCTGTTAAGCAATATAACTACTAACAAATATTATCTTAATGGAATTCACTTAAGAATAGGGAACATCCTTAATGCTTTATGCCAATTTGCTTCTCATTAACATGAAATTATGCCAACCACTTAATTCCCAAGAAAAAGTGAATTAGCACAAAACAGGTTTATAAAAGTAGAGCAAACAAAAAGAAACAAATGGGGAGGGGAGCAAATAGAAAGCACCTCAGTACAACAGCTTTGACTTTTCTCATTTTCTCTTGTTATTGTAGTTTTTCCTGCCTCCCCTGGCATGAAAATCTCTCAAAGTCTAGATTACCAAAATTCAGAACACTCTCAATATTACAAACAACAACTTATGACCCTAATACATGCTTCACTCAGGCAGAACACCTCAGGTGATACAACAGTCCGGAAAAGTAGATTCCTTTTTCAAATGAAAAAAGGGAAGAGACTATAAATGTCAAGTTACATTCCTTATGCACTGTAAACTTATTCTTCCTTGCTGTTAGTTACCATTTGATAAGAAAAGAAATTATTTTCAAGTGCTTGTTTCCTCCCACT